TGTGTGTGTGTGCGTGTGCGTGTGTGTAATGCTCATGTGATGGGTAGTATGATAGTCGGGGCTAGAAACGAGGCTAATCCAGCCTTCTTCTCTTGCTCAGTGGCTCTTCCTGCACCCACTCTCTCTCTCCTTTTCCTTAAGTCTATCCGACAGACACAAAAAGTTCCTACTTTCTTTCTACACTCATTCTATAGACTCCCTAATCTTACGCTTTGACGTGAAGTCACCGTAACCCGCAAAATGTTGTGTTTTGGACCAGTCTATTAATGAAGAAAAACTGTGCTGATGCATAGAAAACTGGACGATTCTGCTCGGTTTCTGATTTTGCCTTCCTCTTCAGCTTGAGCAAAAGTTGGGTGAAATAATGAGAAAATGGAGCATACAAACAATGTGTACAGCGAAATTAACACTTCTTTCAGTAGTTCCTTCGTTTAGATAATATTCAAGCTGTTACAAGGTTTTGTGCTCATGTGGTAAGGTCTATGTGGGATAGACCTGGCGACCCTTAAACAATAGACTATGCGAACACAAAACCACATGTAAAGTTCTGTGAGTACGAAAATCTGAGCTCTCTGAACACAGTTTGCCAATACAGGACACTCAATAGACTGGCTCAAAATGCAAGGATTAGGGAGTCTATAGAAACGAACAAAACAGCCAATGTCCTGAATAGAAGGAATGAGTGTAGAAAAGAAAGTAGGAATTTTTGTCGAGGTTGGATAGACTTAAGGAAAGGGAGAGAGAGTGGGTGCAGGAAGAAGGAGGCCATCTTCTCTTATTTAGCATATCTTTTCTCTACTTCGTAGAGTGTGCAATCTTGCTCTGATGATGTCTGTCAGGGTGGTACAGATGAAAGCTTGGCACAGTTTCATCGGGGTCGCAGGACGGTGAGGCGAGGACTTCTTGGCACAATCCTGCTTCGGTTTCCGGTGCGACGACATCACGACTTCCTTCCAACCAAATTTTTCTTCGAAATGGCCACTCATGCCACAATACTTCGTCTGTTAGCCTTTGTCACCATCTGTTAGTCTCAGTTTGTCTGTGCCAATCTTTTTCTGTCTCGG